TTCACAGTCCTTGCTAATTCAGGTCATGAGGGATAGGCTTCATAAATCAGAGCTTCAGAGTTGGGTCTGTTGTGCTCATGGGATGCCTGGATAATGGGGATTAGGCTGTGCTGCTTACACACAGAGCTGACACCGCCAGGCTGGTACCTGAATAGATGACAGAAGACTTCTAATAAGTCACATGTTGGCGGAGGAAGGCTAAGGCAGTTTTTCCCAGCTGCACACCTCTGCTCCTCAAGGCCATCGTGGGCTCAGAGAGCTGCATTCAGCAGCTCAATGCATCAATTTGTCAGCTGTGGGGCTGCGTGAGAAAGTTTGAAAGTTGTTCAAGAATCTATTTGCTCACGAGGCTTTGGAATCACTGAACTAAGGCACCGGGCAGGTTTGCCTCTAAAAAATGGCATTTCTCAGGGTTAATTAGCCAACTTCCATTCTTGGCTAGCTTGTGCTGCCTTAACCTCCTGACTCTCATTTCTTCCTTGACACTCTTCTTTCTTCCCTTAGCATGTCTGTTTGAACTTCACTGATTCCCAGCTATGTTGCTACCAGTCTGTGTGCTGGGTCAGCTGTTACCTTTGAGTATTTTATTCTCCTAAGAGCTTCCTGGATCAGAATTGCCTTGACAGCATCATGCATCACTAATTATGGGGGAACACAGTGGACGGTGATAAATTTTAAAGGCTTCTTGTAGCCAGGCTCAGGTTTATCTCGTAGGTATGCTTGAATAGATTAGAAAACAAATCACAAGTGTGCCAGGATAGCTGAGAGCTTTGGTAAGTAAACCCTTTGTGACCTGTGCAGATGACTGAAGTCCCAGGGCATGAAACTTGATGATTTGTTACTATAAAACCTGATGCCATCTGTCTTTTCAGCTCACCATAGATCGTCTGCACAAAGGCATGGTACGTGCTATCTGTTCTAGACATCCTAAACCTTTGGTCCATTTAGGCTATTCTGTTCTACTTCAGTTGTACCGAGGAGGTTTAGGTTACACGTAAGGAAGAGCTTTTTCTCTCAGAGTGGTCAGGCACTGGAATGGCTGCCCAGGGAGGTGGTGCACTTGCTGTCCCTGGCAGCGTTCAAGAGGTGTCTGGATGAGGAGCTACGAGATACGGTTTAGTGCTTGTGGAGCAGTGGTGATGGGAGAATGGTTGGACTGGATGATCTTGCAGGTCGTTTCCAACCTTGCAATTCTATGATTCTAAGGAATTGCACGATCATTTCGTTGCCGGCTCCTAATAGAAATTTGGTGGGTTTTTTTTTCACAAGCACATGAGAATGAGCTTAGTAAGATCTGTACTATGCAGTGCAGTGGGTTTAATCTCCATAAGTCCTTTTCCATTCATCCAGGAACTTCTGAGCATAAGTCACCATCATATAAATCTTACCTTACAGTGTTACTTTTTATTAGGTTTATCAACTGTTATGGCTATTTAAGATTCCTTGGCTTTTGAAGTTATGTTTTTGTAGTAGCCTCTCCTAATTTGTCTTCTGAGTTTCTTGCAGCAGTTTATGTTTGAAGTCTCAAGGTAATGGCCTTAAGTTAATTTTATCTGTCTTTGTAGAAAGAATAGGTTCTCACTATTACTTAGTCTTTGCGTGCTCACCAAAAAGTTATTACATGTATTCCAAAATGTGGACTTGGGTGGCAAGCAGCTCAAGTTCCTCAGTCCTGGGAAGTGGTGTTGCAGCTTGCCCTAATTCTGACCTGCAGCCATCCTGTGCTAACGGGTGGCTGTCAACAAAGACATCAGTTGTGGTGGGGATTTTGTTGCACTCCAGTTCTCTTGAGTGCTGCAGTCTTTAATTCATGAAAGCCACTGATCATGCTTTTCATTTTGGCCTGGGCTGGTTTCAACTGGAATCCCCAAGTCACCTTCGTTTTCTCAGTGCCCTCAAGCTTTTGCCTGCTGCAGATATCATCAAGTGAAATCCTGGTACAGGTTGCCGTTGCGCTAACTTGAGTAGGAGCTGCAAACTTACACCAAGCTGGTCATCCCAGCAGGGTGACTCTCTGCCTCACTCAGTGTAACAGAAGTGGAAGATCACTGCTGAATCTTAACCTTTTGTGGAAGCAGTTCTTTAATATTGCCTTTAGCATGGTCTGTGTTTGCATATTGCTCATATCACCTTCAAACACAGGCACTCAGCAAAACTATGGGTCCAGCAGAGTTCCAGTGAGGTCATGGTGTGCTCTGTGCACCAGTGCCAAAGCAATTCCTGAGATACACCCGTCACAGATACTGCTGCCCCTATGCTTGTCCTTCCCAGTACAAAAAGGATCTTGTTTGATACAGTTTGGTTTGGGCTCGGCTTAACACAGGGAGGGAATAAAGGAGGTCAGCTAAATAAAACACGTTTACATAACAGTCTGAGCAGAAAATCTGATGTGTCTTGTAGGGTTAAGTGAAGTAAACTAAGGCAACACAACTTGTCCTGAACTGGAGAGAACGTGTGGGTGAGTGGCACAGAAGGCACTGTTACATGTTGAGATGGGAGAAAAGGCAAGGGAAAATACCATCACAGACCAAACTTGCACACCTTCAGCTGTCGTAATAATTGAATTCACAAGATGGGTTCTGAAATGTTGCTATGCATCCCAAAAAATTCAGTGGGGATGTATCAGATGCTAATCAGTAGTGACTGTAGATTGTAGTATACTTTCATATGTATATAATATGCAATACATATGCCAGCCTGTGACTGAGATGGTTTTTTGAACTGTAAATCTCCAGGAATTGGGAACTCTGAGTCTTGAATTTCCTAAAGCAATCTCTGCCCTTTGGATCCCTTCCTGTCTGAACAGTGCTTGTTTAACAGTTGTGCTTGTCTTGGATGGAAACACGTAGGGAAAGTATGGATTTATATTTTGTTCATGGTATGTCTCTGAGATAGGACTGCCAGCTATGACAAAAGGAGACCTAAGGTTGGTATTTGAGGAAGAGATCCTTGCTAAAAACCAAACCTTCCTTTAACAAAGAACAACTAAACCATTGTTGGGGAAGCAGTGTTACGGTCTGTACTAAGTGTAGCAGTAAAGGTTTTGAGGAACAATTAAATGGCATGTCCAAATGAATTAAACACTTTTAGTATAGTAGTTTCTCTGTGTTTTTTTCTGGCCTTTTCTTTTCTTAAGAACCTTGGATAAATGCAGGGGGCAGTCTGGAGAGGATGGGAAGCTATTTCAGAACAGACTGAGAAACTGTCCAGACCTGTAAGATGATGCATTTCCACAAAGGAAGGTTCTTTTCAGCCTGTTGATGAAAAATCTTGTGGGTTTCCCACCAGTAGAAGCCACTTAATTACATTTTGTGTATGCTCTTAGGGTACCTGTTTGGTGAGAACCTGACAAACGGTCTTCTGAAAGTAAATCAATTCTGTTTTCTTGGGCTTTCTTGAATATACATGATGTCCGGAGCCTGAAAAGCACAGCAGTGGCACAAGAGGAAGCAAACAGTGGGGCGCCAGTTAGGCTCTGTAGTTCTGTGAAAGACTTTGTAGCCTCGTGTAAAGAAAAAGAAGAATGTGCCATTGGCGGTAGTGAGTAAATGGAACCTTCTTGTCTTCTTTGCTCTTGTCTCCTTATAAATAAACCATTGTTGTCCATCCTTGGCATTTGCAGTTCATTGTGATAAATTGGTGTTGATGTGTCTGACATTTCAACCGAGTTGTTTAATGGTGCTTTTCTGAAAAGGCAGGCCTTGCTATAGCTCGAGTTGGTCCAGACTATATCCAGCGTAAGCACTCGCTCTTATGTATGGTGCTAACCCTTTTCTTTCTGGGAGGGTGAGGAGGAAAGGAGAAAGTAAATATTTTGGTCACGTAAGCCCAGAAGGTCTGGTGTTCGTGTAAGCAGTGTGCAGAAACAGAAATGTACGTCTGGTTTGTAGCTGCCCATTTCATAGCACAAACACCGATGTTGAGTCCATTTGCACTGCTGCATTGTCTCTGCTTGAAAATAACCACCTTGCTGAAATGATGCCAAAGTTTTCATCAGAGCTGTGCTTTGAGTTTTATGCAGAATCTTCTGTTACCTGCTAATGCTTACAGACTGTTGGTTTCCATGCAATGATGCTTAGGTGCAGAAACCATTGAAATGCAGGGATAGGATGAACTGTGAGCAAAAGCAGCTTTTTACTACATTCCAAGTTCAAGCTTTGATTTACATTTTTAAAATACCTGTAATTATTTTGTCAGTGAGATGAATAAAATAGAGATTGTTTTCCATAAATAGGAGTCCTCTGTCTACACTTTTCCAAACCTTTCAGCTTGCCAAAAATATTGATATGTTGGATGCCCACAGTTTCTAGAAATGGCTTTGAAGTGCTTCAGGGTGCTAAGAAGATGGAGAAATCCTGTGGCTAAATGGTGCTGCTTTTAAGAGGGGGATTGATGCTTTGAGGCTGCAAGAGGGCCCTCCAACGCCTTCTTGTGCAAGTGGAGAGAAGGTGTAATGTTCATCCTCTCTTGCTCAGTACTTGGAAAGCAGACAGACTTTGCATTAATTTCTTTACCAGGCATGCTGTGAAAGATATTTTTAGTTCTAATCCAGAATTTAAGATTTCCTTTAGAATTTAAGTTCCTTCCTTTTCAGTAGACTTGCGGCCATATGTAGCATTATAATGATTAACAGCTGTGGAAAAACTATTCAACAATGTGTTTTGAACAGAAGAGTTGATCTGCTTAATAAACAAATCCTGACAAACTGGGTAAGGATCGGTTAGTTCGTTTTGTTTGCATGCTGCTGTACGGTTGTGTTCCTAAAGCAGGGTGGCTGAATCAGGCACGCACTGAGGGGCAGGCTGTTCTCACATGTGAAAATACTGTGATCTCTCTGAGGGGGCATGTAAGCAGGCAGACCTCAGAACTGTGGACATCACATTTCATTACAGGTCTCAGGATTGAGCCATACGAGGTGATAGTAACTTTAAGTGCCAACAGTGTTAGCAATGTCTAGAAGTATGTTAAACTTGTATTTTTTCTTTGTTTTATTCTTCTAGCCAAACAAGTGTGCCCAGCTGAAAAAATTAGCTGTGGAGACTTAAGCAACAAATGTATCCCGTCGTCCTGGAGATGTGATGGGCAGAAGGACTGTGAAAGCGGTATTGATGAGGCTGGTTGTGCTCCTGGTGAGTTAGAGAAATACTTTAATGCATGTGCAACGTCTCCCTTAGGAAAACCATAAAAGTTTTAGAGTGACTATTACAAATTGCATGTAAAGGGATGACTTTTCTGCCAACAAAATTCGCTCCGTCTATATTTGCAATGCTAAGTAGTGGATCTTAAAAAAAGGACATGAAGGAGGGATTCTACAGTTGGAGATGGCTGGAGAATATAAAGGGAACTCTGTGGAGAGCTATGCTGTATGTCTTCTGTGCTGAGGCAGAATATAATTAGTTGGTCATGATTATGAGGGCTTAATACCCAGGAGATGTGGTGGTGAGGACTTAAATAGCAAACCTTTTTCTCTTACAGCTTAGCAGCTTAGTGCCACCTTCTTCTTCCTGCAGAGCATAGCCCTGTAGGCTATGTTAGCTTCTGCTGGGATGTAATAGATAGGTCTGGACTTTGTGAATGGCCTGTTGATTTTACTGGACAGAGAGAGAATGATATACAATTTACTGTAACAGTTTTAAATTCAGTCCCTCAATGGCCATTGCCTTTCATTAGGCCTTTTTCTCCTGAATGAAAGAGCTCTTTAACACTGTATTCCGTCTGTGAAAACTCCTACACTGTGTAATCAAGTCATTTCTCAAACTGTCTTTTTGATAGACTAAACATATTTAGTTCTGTGTGCTTCTTGTTGTCAAGTATTTTTCTTCTGAATGAATGCTTGACTCATTTTTGTGGCTCCCTTTGATATCTCAGCTCATTTTCCAACTTTGTTTTCATACAGACCACCAGAACTTTGTGAATATCAGTCTATCCATTACTGTGCAGAAGTAAAATCTCATTCCTGTACTGCTCTTAGTTATGTATTGTTATTACTTGTCATTATTTACTTCCTTGTATAAATAGTCCTAGGCTATTAAGAAAGTATCTCTTGCTCTGTGTGACGGCCATCACCCTATAGTTATTCACTCCTGTCACTTTCTGTCATTTTGTGTGATTCAGATTACTGGTGAGAGGCTTGAATGAGTACATACAAACACACGTTGATGTTTCTTCATCTGAAAACTGAATTTTGAGCTGTGATTCCTGTCCAGTTCACAATCCACATCGTTTTTCCATTGAAGTTGTATAACAGCGTATGAAGCTTCAACATAAATCACTAATTCAGTGCAATACAGATTAGACATAAAGTTTTCCAAAGCATCTCTGTTCTGTTTTGCCCATGACTCTGTAGTCCAGTGGTAACGGATACAGGTTACTGTGTATATGATGAGTTCTCTTGTTCTGACCACACGCGGGAGACTCCACTTGCAAGGAAAAGGCATAGGCTGCCTCACGTTGCCTCCTAATTCATGTGAAATTAAGTGCCTGTGCATGGACCATTCCTAATTCATTAATTATGATGTGATAAATTGGTAATGTGCCCTAATCCTTTGTCCTTTAAGGTAATTATGTTTTGGCAGTTTTCAAAAGCAGTGATCTGTATGAAGCCCTAAATGTTCTCTCTACAGCATGTGCTTTTTTGTTGTTGAACTGCTTTAGAGAAAAGCTCAGGAGAGAAATGTAACTGCAAGCAAAGTAAGATTTTTCTCCCTCAGTAGGAGTTAATGAAGTTATAACAATTCTACACTGGTGGATACCTCTACTAATTTAATGCTGCTGCTCACGCTAGTAGGAGTTGTTGCGTGGAGTCTATTATTTATTAAAAAAAAAAACCCTTCATTTGAAACTGCTTGCTTTGAAGTTCTTCTTTTCAAGGCTCTGAGGTGGCCCCCAAAATGAATTTAAATATGTTCTAGATGCCACATAATTTCAGCATAATTTTGCTATTAACAGATGTAGAAAAAGCTGAGTGTTTGCCTTCTGGATGTTTCGGTGTTTCTAGCCTTGCTCATCTTCTACAGTTGTAGTGCATATGTAGGATTGTACAGTGGAAATTTAATCCAAGGACAAACTACCATCTTCTGATGGCTGTTGGGTAACTCATGTGAGGTGAATTTCACTTTCACTTAGTTCCTTATCATTGACCCAATGTAGGCTGCCACCTCAGTGGGTGCAAGGTGGAAATCACTGCTGAGTCTGAATGTGGCTATCCTCTGGCCAGGGGACGGGGCAGGAAGGCACTGATGGGCAGACTTTGAGCTTCCTGGGTGGGTGCAGGCATCAGAGGCTTTCAATACTGATATCTGGTGACTCAGCCTCTTTCAGAGGCATTAGATTTAGTCTGAGAAGGAAACAGGTGGCACTTCTGAATGGCTGTCCTAGGTGTGTTTTCAATGAGGATGCTAGTCAAATTAAGGGTTTTTTTGTCATGGATAACAACAGACATGTTAGTTGTTTAAACTCTGAGAGCTTATAGAGGATTGATTGCTATCCTCCCTTTTGTCCAAATCTGATGAAACCTCACTAAGCCTATCTGATATTCTGTTAACATTCCCTTTTCTATTCAGAATCCTTCTATATCCGTTTTCTCTTATCTCAGTAGCACACATCGTCCTGATTCAGAAAAAGGAAAATGGCTGATCCTAGGTTCAGACCTCTTTTTCTGTTTTCTTTTTACCTCTGCATTCGCTGCTTTATTCTCATTTTTGATGAGGTTTTATTGCTGGCTGTCACTTGCCAACCCTGTGGAGCAGAGCACCATGTTGTAGCTAGTGCTGCACCTCTGACAGAGCTGACAAAGCTCCTGTCCTTAAAGTCCTAAAAGTCCTTAAAGAACGCATTTTTCTAGATGAATGTTTAGAAGGGAGTTTATTTGTGCTTACACTAATTGCCATGTTGAGAGCTTGCATGTGCAATAAACAAATGGAAGATGACTTGAAGATAGTGCTTGTGAAGGCACCCAGATGAAAAACCCTAAGCTCTTCCTAAATCAATGTCAGTAAAACCATTGCTTTGAGCTAATGTAAGACTCTAGGCATATTTTAACTGCAGATGCTCCCATTTCTTTATAGCAATAACTGTCTCTTGGTATTATAATCCTTCAAAAGAATTTTTGCTAAATGTGGAGTTTTTGAACATTTTTCTAATTCATAAATGTAGCACTGTTGTACTGCCTCGCAAAGGTAGGAGCAGGGACTGGTTGTGATGAGGCTGTGCAAGCACCTATTCCTGTCTCAAAATGTTCATGGTCTGAGCTTAGGGAGGAGTTTGTGCAAGAGGAAACCAAGGGTTATGGTAGTAGCATCATCCAAAAACTCGAGCAAGAATACTCAGGTTCTTCTTCCTATGTCTGCCTCTGGCATCCAGCAACCTGCTTTTCTGATACTGCTCTGGGTTGGGTAATTCTTGATGGATTTTTTTTCTTTCATGAATTTGCTGATCAGAAATTTTGGTTTTTTGGTTGTTTTTTTTTTGTGTGTGTTCTGTTTTTTGTCGTTCATCCATAAACAAGAATTAAAAATTGTAAGGTTTTCATCCTGTGGAAAAACTTCCACTGAGGAAGTACTGGAAGCTGTAAATTATTTAATCTGCCTTGCATAAAGCAACAGTGATTAGGGATCCAGATTTGTGTCTGCACAGGTTGTAATTGCACCAGGGATTAATTGTGGGTATTAATCCTTGCATGTAGGTAGGTGAATGCCCATCTGCCTGAGTCATTTACTTCCAGCAGTTTGAGCAGTAGGCTTTAAGTCTGCTGCTGACTTTCAGTGCACAAACAATTTTTGGAAATGCAGATATCTGCCTTTTTGAAAATAAAATACATGAAAAGGATGTAACTTTTTGGTTCTTTGGAGCAGAGGCGATCTGTGTCTTTACAGTAAGTCCTGAGTCTGGTTTGCTTCTCTAAAACAGGCAGCAAGGAGTTAAGAATGTAGGAGCAGTTTTGAATTTACTAGCCTGATTTCTGTGGTCGAGGTTTTATGCTCCTGATGTACCTCGTCTTTATCAAAATCATTTGGATAAGCCTAGGAACACATTAACTGAGACTAAAAAGAGAAATTAAATGTGAGAGTCCACATGTAGAGAGAGCATCACAACTCTGGATCGTTCTGGTTAATAACTACTACAGAACTTGTTAAATCTCTGCTAAGAGAGGCACTGACTGGTGTTTTGTCACCTGCCTAGGAATGCAGGGAGCATCTCAGCATAGATTTAGAAAGGAAGAACTGCCATCCTCTCACAGCTGTGATGGATGCTGCATCTCTTTAATGAACGTATCTGATGTGTAGGGTGGTCAGCAGTGAGAGCCATGTGCAGGCCCCATCTCCTCTCAGCCTGTTACTGGTTCTCACCTGGACCAGTTTTTGCACCCCATATGGAAATTGTGCCTTGCAAATAAGGGACTGGAACTGTACAATTTCCCCTCTTTTGTCGCAGATACAGCGTAATGATGTGTTGATGCACTAATAAACTGTTTTCCCATACAGTGATTTATTTATAAATATATATACAGTGAGTTATTTATATGCTGTAAGTATAGCACAGAGAGCAATGCATGGGCACTTATGCAGGTAAGGATAGTGATCTCACAGTGATCTCCTGTCATTGTCCCAGAGAGCCAGGAATTCCTGCAAGAATGTCTCTGGCAGATACGGCCTTGTTATTGAGGTTATCTTCTGCTGTAAGAGAAGGGAGCTGTATTTGTGTTACACGAGACAGAAAAATCTTAAATATGTTCTTTTGCATGTTTTGCCTTTTTCTCCTTTCTGTGTGTTTTATCTTTACTCTTCTCACACACAAAGCTTCATGTTCCCAAAAGAGTATCTGCAGACATGCACGGCATTTTGTGAAATCTGTAAATTCTGTTTGTAGGGTACTGAGTTGTTTGCCCTTGGATGATGTTCTTTTGAACCTGAGCATGTTTCAGTGGCTCACAGGTCCCACATCTGTGTATCTAATAGTTGTGTACTTGTATCTCTCACCTGCTTTTGCTGTGCACCTTTGTGAGATGAGCTTGCTGGTTCCCACAGGATGCTGATCCCAGCTCTTTACAGCTTTATGTAAACACACCTTTAATTTACTAAGCTTTAAGTTAGGAATCTTTATATGTGTGTGCATGTCTTCCCAATGCAGT